TTCGTGTCGTGCCATGTGCCCGGCAGGAGCAGAGCAAGGGCAGCACGGGTGCGGTTGCATAGCAATGCCCAGGTGCCAGGGCGTCACTCTTAAGAGTGGGAATCCTGTGTGTGCAGCATGATCAAAAACCCCTCAAAACACGAATAATTTTCCTTTGTTTGTCCAAGGAGGCTGGAGCGTTGATCCAAGAGATGCAAAAAAAAAAAATGTTTATAAGAGTGAACAGCCTGTCGTAAGCAAATTTACGTGAGGGAAGCAAACAGGGGAGCCCCGGGAGGTGTGTGTACCTGTGCCTAACCTTCTTCTTTGTTGCAGGACTCCAAGAACCCCAGTTTGTAGAGTTTAATGGAGGATTTAGCCAAACCCAGCTGGACTGGTTCAATGAAGTCCTCAAGTTCTCTGATGAAAATGAAGAAAAAGTTATAGTTATGGGTAGGTGGATATGGGTGATATGTGGTGGTATATGCAGTAGAAATTCTGTAGCCTCTGGATGTTAGCTGAGGAAACCATGTAGCAGCTTTGTAGCTCCTCTGAGGTATGCAGCAGAAGTGAAGCAGGAGAACAGCACCTGTGTCTCACGCTCGGGTGAGCTTTCTGTCTGAACTTCCCAGCAAGGAAGGTAAGAGTTTGGTTACAAATAAAGTAACTGTCCTGCTTCTTTCCTTCTCACCTGCAGGTCATGTGCCCATTCATCCAGATGCTTCAAACAGGGTTTCCTTAGCCTGGAATTACAAAGATGCCCTGTCAGTCATACACTCCCATCGGTGCGTGGTCTGCTTCCTCGCAGGGCACCTGCACGACAGCGGCTATTGCTTAGACTCTCACGGAGTTCATCACCTGACTTTGGAGGCGGTTATCGAAACTCCCCCGGAGAGCAATGCCTTTGGAACTATTTATGTCTATGAAGATAAAATGATACTGAAGGGAAGGGGCAGAATTTCAGACAGGGTTATGCATTTCTGAAAAATGATAAGCAAAAACAAATCACCTTCTTCAGGAAGTACTTGGACAAGGGGATTCGGCTTACCACGTGCTTGTAAAAAGATGTGCATGGCTGATCCTTTGTAGCTTGAATTCAAACATTTTTCTCTTGGATACAGGATTTTAGGAAAACAGACTTTGTTTCTTTGTGGAGAATAAGAAGGCCAGTAACCACGTTTGAAATAAATATACTTGAATGTTGAATGTTAACTTAAAACACCCAGTCCTGACTGGATTGCTATTTACTGTGGAAAAAGTATAAACCACGTCATGAATATTGTCAAAAAAAAAAAGCCACTTTTTTTTAATATATCACTCAGAATTAAAGCATGCAGAATTGTATCTGCCCAGCTGCACTCCAATTCTTACTTCTGTTTTTTTTTTTAAACATAGTAATGTCTCTTGTCTGGCAGAATTAGCCCACGCTGTGGCCTAACACTATCAGTTCTTAACAGTGCTCTGAAAGACTAATCTTCAAAATGAGCAAAGACCCAGGGAAACAGAGACCATCTGTGCCACGTCATGTAATGCTGCTGGGATTTCTGTGTGCACAGCTGTGTCAGCCCACAGCACCCCTGCGCCAAGCAGCCCTGGCAGGGGCTGCAGCCCATTGCTGGCCTCCGTCAGGACCTCTTCGGGCTCTCTCCCAGCCAGCTTGTGCGTCCAGCATCCTCACCGGTGCTTCCTGCTCCAGGATGAGCAGCGGTGGAACGTGGGTCCTGTCACTGGGCCCCACGGTTGGCTTCTGCTTTCCAGGAACAGAAATCCTGTGAGAAGCGGAGTTGCGGCAGTGACCGCATCAGCTGGTGGCAGTCAAGGACGCTTCTCATGGAAAATAAAAGGCACGGAAGCTTTCATTGAATTTTCTTTAGAAAAATACAATTTATTCCTCTGTAAACCCAGTGATTTTCAGTTAAATGTAATAGCAAAAAGATATTTCTTCATATATATTCTACATATGATGTTAGCGTAGGAACAGAAACACAGACTGTTCGATTTTACAATTAGTCTCAATGGACTATCCAGGCAGATATCTGGAAGTTTTATGGCTGTAAATAGTCATTTAGTGAAACAAAGTGTTTGCTTTACTTTTCCCTTATGTTACAGAACACCAGATTTCCCACAGTTAACGAGGTGGTTGGAGAGTGGCACAGGGATGCCAGGATATCTTGAATATGCCATTAAAACACGTGAGATCAACGGGGCTTTAAAAATGTATCAAGAAGTCAGCTGAACAAGTTTCCTTAGAAAATTCCCCACTTGCATTTGACAGCATCTTCAATTCATTTTTTTTATTAACAAATCTCAAACTGCGCCAGGTCCTATGAAACTGATGCTAACCTTGCATCAAGAACCAAAAGCAAAGGCATGAAGTGTCAGAATATTTAGTCTTGACTTTCTCCCACCCAATTAAATCACCGTTTTACAGTGCGTTGGCCAAGACTCTCGCATTTCTTTGTTCATATAAATGTACAGCCACGAAACAAAGGGGAAGAGGGCAACCACGACTGCAGCAACCAAACGAACTCCACCCAGTGGACTCCTATAAAGAAGGAATTGCAACAGAGCTACTTCAGATCGAACAGCTTTGAGACATCCACACCTGGCTGCAGCTGGAAAAACAGCAGAGAGCCTTTGGCCACTTCTAAGGTAGCTCCTGTGGATGCCTCAGCAGAGTCCTTCACTGGAGAGGCACCACCTGCCAGCAGAAACAGTTCTGCCACCTCAGGCTGCCTACACCCAGTGGAAAATAAAAAAGCATCCTCCTTGCTCAGAGCAGCTGTGATGTGTCTTCCCAGCACAAAGGCACTTTTCATTCTCCCGGTTTAGAGGGATTGAGCAAAATTGCTGTGGCACAGTCCTCTGAAGAGGCTGAAGGTGCAGCCCAGCAGCCCTCGGAACCCACTGCCAGCTCTGCCTGCATCACCCACCTGCTTCGGGGGGCTCAGCAGGCACCAGCATGGTGACCCCCACCAGGAAGGCCTGTAAATGGGGAGCAGTAGCAGAAAGGGCTTTGTAGTTCATCAGCACTCGGGGTTGTGGCTCGTTACCCTGACCCGCAAAAGGGGGTCCCCGCAGAAGGTCCCCTGCCCCTTGTGGGAGGGGGAACAGAAAAAATGGTTTTTGTAGCTTTGTTTTTCCCCTGCCCAGGCTTTTACCTGTAAAAGAACCTACAGGCTGTAGCACCAGCCACTACTGCCCAGGTGTCTGAGAACGCTCAGACGGTGACATGAAGGAGAAAAAGCAGCAGCTGAAATCAGCTATGTGTTCTCAGGAAGTTAGCTGCTAAATGCAAACCTATGAATGGAGTAAAAATAAGTAAATGAATAAATACATAAAGGAAAGGAAACAAAACTTACTTTGCTGAACTGCGACAAAGACTCATCCATATTGTAATGATCACCAGACCAAACAACTCTCTAAAATGCCAAAGAAAGAAAAATTATCAGAAAATAATACAAGCAGATATTTAGTTCTTAAAACCACAAAGCAGCAGTGTCTGCTCCTTCTCAGAAGTTCTATATGCATACACCAGGATTATAATTATAAAGGTATTTACACGGAATAACTTTGCTTCCCACCACAGATCTACAAACGCAGGTGCAGAAATTGCTGCTTCCAGTTTGTATTCTGCTGCAAAACTTGGATTCACTGACACACAGCAAAGCTGCATCCTGCTGTTCAGATCACTGCCCACAGCCGCAGTAGCTGCCAGTGCTTCACCTCCAGACTGTGCAAGCACCTACTTTAGGCAAGAACTGAACATCCAGATAAGAAATCCCCCCTCACCCTGAATCCCTGGCAACTCAGGGCATTCGGCAGCCCCTGCCAGACAAACATGCACGTGATGTCACCTCAAGAGAGTTTTTAAAATATTAATTCTCACTCCTACAGCTCCAGCAAGAGAGCACAAAGCTGTTTCACTGTACTGGTGCCCTTTGAAAGCCACAACTGCCCCCCATGAAATTGAACTGCCACAATCAGGCAAGCAGTCGTGACTGTTGATTCTCCCTCTAGCTCTTTTGTCCAAAAAAATGGCTGGTTTGGAGCACTACCATGCACCTTCCTTGGTTTGACTCTCCTGTGCCAAGCAAGAGCCCAGCAAATCAAGCTTAGCAAGGTTAGCACCAGGAGGAGATGGGCTGGCATGTTAAATTCGCACAGGGGAAAACAAAACTCATCGCTTACCTGCCTTCCTCTTCATGCAGAATGTTTCCCTGAGCATAAGCAAGCAAAGAGCGAGCCAAGGCAATGGTCCCAACAACACAACCTGCGGAGTGAAGGTCACAGAGGCTCCTCCAAACACCATTATCTAAGGGGAAAAAACAAACTGCCAGCAACTGCGCTGGGGCCTGAAGTAAATCCTGTAAGTCAGAAGGCAAACACACACGTCTTAGGCAGGAAGGTGGAATTAGCACCAGCAGCCCTGTGACCAGGGAAGTCTCCTAAAAAGTGCTGTTGGAAAGAAGCACTAGTGGGCTCAGGGCTTGCCCTCCTATGGATGCAAATTCTCGGCAGCAGGACTTCAATAAAAACGGCTTCCTATTCTCTCCAGCAAACAAAACGGGCTCTGGCATTCCACATGCATAGAGAAAAAATAATAATAAAATAAACAACTCCACAAAGCAGATAACAAATGAAAGCTCTCTTAAGCAGGAAGAACAGCCTTTCCAGAGCTCACCGCCATAACCCGATGCTCAGCGTGGTCCCAGAGGATGCTGGAGGCCAGGGGAGCAAGTCCCTGCTCCCAGCCTGGCCTCCCTCACACTCCCCAAGAAGCCTCTGCCCGAGGTTTTGCCTGCAGGGATGAGCAACGCTGACACCAGCTCTGCCTGGGGACTGATGTTGAGATAAACAGAGAGGTACCCGCAACGTGAAATATCTGAATGGGCCCACAGATTTCCCTGGTTTTCCATGGCCAGGGGCTTGTCAGGGAAGACGTAAGCGAACACATGGACAGTCCCCGCTGATCTCAGCAATGCCAACAGAAAAATGTAAAGTTAAAAGTAGTCTTTTCTGGGCACTGGCCCTTCCAAGCAAGCATTAAAGATGATGAGCTGCCAAAATTAAGTATCTCAGTGTGACCCAGCGTTGTAATCGATTCCCCCTTTGGCTGAATTTCCTACACACAACTTAGCAGAGGAAGAATCTGGGTCTTCCACAGACCTGAATGGCAAATATCCCTTGCTAAAGTCACATAAATATCCAGTCGTACAGTAGTTGTGCTATCTTAATTTCCACAGATGTCAGCACAAGGAAAAAAAACCTACTTGTGAGTTTAACACGCGGATTCTCTCGACCAGCCAAATGCCATTATGTTGAAGGCACACCGATCGCACAAATAAACCTCCTGCAAAACGCTCAAATCCAGAGACAGCCAACCCTCATGGGTTCTGTATTTAAGAATGCTGGCACTTTATACGCTTAAGGTGTCCAGAATGCTGGGGGACTGCAGCAGCGTGGTTTTTGCCAAGTGCATGTGCTCCTGAAGATTTAATTTTTTCCTAGCATAACTGTGGGTTTTGTTTATTCAAAATAAGTATTCATCCAGAAAATACACAGCCACGGAGCTGAATGTTCTGCTCACTGCCCATGCGCTTTCTGGGGCAGCTACAAGACCTTTGGCTCTTCCACAGGACTGCGCAGAGCTCAGCTGCTCTTCTGTGAGGTAGATAAGCAAACCCATAGTTTTACATCAAGGAAATGAAGTTAATTAACGTGCTGACATCAACAGCAGGGCTTGTGCTCCACTCGGGCTCTGAGCACCGGAATCAGGGCACAAAGGTGAGACCATCCCAGGAGCAGGGCTCCTCTGCTCACCTGCTGCACATCCAACCACAAGCACTAAAACAGGGACCAGCTTTTGTAGAAGCTTTTTTGCCCTCAAAAGGTAGCGGGACATGTTTCCACGTGGCCTAATCTTCACCTGTGATTCAGTAAGAAAACCCAAACCTTTTGGGGTCAAAATTTGAGCAGAGACTGTTCCGCATCTCAATATCATACCTGTTACTGAAGGGTTAATGCTGACAAGCAGGGTCAGGGCAGCGGGCACTAAGTAGATAACCTGTTAATGAACCATAAATCTATTCTGTAGCAAAACTTCGCAAGATAAGGAAGCAGAAGCACCCATCCACATCAACCCTGTGTCAGAGCAGC